GATCAGACCTCAAGGTCCAAATGCTGTGACATTTCTCAAAGATACTATTGGACTTGCACAGGGAATCAAAAGCTCACCTTTTGGGTCTCTGGGGGATTTGATTGTGCGTCCCAATCCACGTTGCCAGCTAGTTGCATTGGAGTCTTCCTCGTTCACAGGAGAAAACATTGTTAACTACCTATCAGTATCTGTGATCGGAAAGTGGACGGTTTGCTGTTACCAGCCAGGCTCAGATGTGTGGGTGTGTGGTGTCTTTGGACCAATTGATCCAAAAGTTAGCATAGAAGAAATTATGGAACTCGCCAGTGCTGAAAATACTGCTATTTCTGATATAATCCATCTGAACAGGTTTCAAAATGGTAATCGAGAGCCATCTGCCACATTGAAGATTACCTTCCATGGCCAAAATTTGCCCAATAAAGTCAAAATTGGATATGTCTCCTACTCAGTGAGACCCTTTGTAGCCCCTCCATTAAGGTGTTATAGATGTCAAAGACTAGGACATCTTGCTGAGGGCTTTATTCTCCCAGACGCTGTTTACTGTGTGCTGGACCTCATGAACACTCTGTGTGCACCTCAGCTAAAAAAGGGTGTGCAAATTGTAATGGAGCTCATGCTGCAAATTCCTTAGAGTGCCCCTACATTGCTAAAGCAACTGCTGTAGAAAAACTGCGTGCCACTGGACGGACATATTCACAGGCTGTCAAGGAAGTAGACTCACTGCAGCAGCAAACTCCTAATGAGGCTCCCCATCCACAAGCATCAAATGAGGCCAGGCCAGTTTCCAGCTCTTCTGGGGTAGCTCTTGATATTAGAATGATAACTGTGGATGTTCATCAGTCTCAGGGTCCCTGCCCAAGTTTTGAGCCTATGCAGATCCCACTAATAAGAGGAAATCAAGTTGAGAATCAACCAGTTTTCAAACATAACTTTACTTTGGATTCAGATAAAGGCCACAGGGCAAACAAGCCGACTGAGGACTTTAGCAAAATTATGAGAGAGGAACTTGTTTCAAGTGAGAAGCAACTTGATGACACAATACGTGCATCTCTGACTGGGTTCTCAATCAAATTGGGAAAATTTTTACATGAAGTCTTTAAAATAAACTTGCTAAATGAAGAGGCTAAGGAGAGATCCTTGCTTTTAATTAGTTTAATAAGAAATGCCTTTGGACAGGTCAGTGATGTTCTGCAAGGGGAATGGCTTCTGGCTTGCCCAGCAGCTACTGATCGAGGCCTTTCTGTACCGGGGATCCTCAGTAAAATCTGCAACTTGAGTGCCCCACAACTCAAGAAATCAGCAGACTCTGGACTCCCAGGAAGATCAGAGCTTCCTATTAGGGTAACAACTGTTCGGTCTTCAGCAGCATCTATATGTAGGGGTCAAACTAGAGCACAAAGCAAGGGGAAGAGTGCAAGCAAACAAGCACAATGAGCTATTCAATAAAATCACAGCAGTTGCAAAGGCATCCCAGAAGAGAGTAAGAGAGTTAGGATTGGAAATAATTCAATTTAATTGTCACGGCCTGCATGGGAAGCTCACTGAGTTCAAGCTGTACCTTTACAAGGAGAAACCAGATGTGGTATGTCTCTGTGAGACATGGGTCAGATTGCATGAGCCATCCTTTGTTGGATACTGTGTTTTGTGGTCTCATAGAAGAAATGCATTAAGGGGTGGGATGGCAATTTTGATCCGCAGGGACATCATTCAAAAACAGCAATTTGATCTTCTTTCATTTCCAGGAGCTACAAATCTTGAGTTTCAAGCCACTAAAAGTAATACTGCTTTAGGATGGATTGCAATAGCCAATGTTTATAATCCAGGCAGGAATGTAGGATTTGAGGAGCTGAATCACTACTTGGCTCAGCTGGGGGATAAGTTTTTAGCAGTTGGTGATTTTAATGCACATTCTCCCTTGTGGGACAGCCGTGGCAGATCTAATATGACTGGCCATTCCCTGGAGGCAGATGTTGAGGAAATGTCCATTTGCTTGTTGAATGATGGCAGCTTCCCAACATATATTGATAATTGCTGTGGTACCACATCCTGCCTGGATCTTGTGATTCTCACTCCTAATCTGTCCACAAGAGCTTCCTTAACCCAGGGACCAGATCTGGGTAGTGATCACTTCCCGGTAAGTTGCAAAATAGGAACTAGGCTTGTGCGATCTTTGGAAAAAGTTCCAGTTTGTTGGAAATTCTACCAAGCTAACTGGAATCTCTACCAACAGGCCCTTGATGATGCCTTGAACACTTCTGAGTGTGGTCCTAGGGATTCTGTCTGTGGCTGCTCTTACCTGTCTGATGCTATCATGAAAGCAGCCTCACTCTCAATTACTCGAAGCTCAGGGAAGAGACATTGCCGCTTTTCTATACCATGGTGGGACGGAGAATGCTCTAAAGCAGTTGCCTTAAGACGTCAAGCAAAAGCAAGATTGTGGCGCAGTCCCACCCCAGCAAACCTCATAGAATACAAGCATTGTGAGGCAGTAGCTCGGAACTTAAAACTACAGAAGCAACGTCAGAGCTGGATTCAATATGTGGGAAAAATCTCCTCATCCACTACCACCAAGGAGACCTGGAGAAAAATTCATAGTATTCAGGGTAGGCCAATAAGTTACACTTCTTATCCCTTGTTTGGGGTTGCTCATGATGATGACCTTTCCAAAGCCACATTATTTTCTGATCACTTTTTAGCAGTTATTCCTGGTATGCCTCCTCCTGCAGCAGCAATCACAGAGGTGGTGAAATGCATATCCAAGCTAAAACACTATGACTGTCTTCCTTTCACAGCTGGTAAATTCACTCAAGCACTTGAAATGCTCAAGAACACTGCTCCTGGCCATGATTCAATTATGAACCTTTTCTTTTCAAAGGCAACACTATGATGCAAACATGAGCTGTTTTCCCTATTGAACACCAGCTGGACCACTGGATGTGTTCCTGATGCATGGAAGCATGGGATTGTTGTGCCTATTCCAAAACCAGGTAAACCCCCGGAGCAAGTGTCTGGGTACCGGCCAATTACACTTCTGCCGTGCATGGGAAAAATCATGGAGCGGACGGTACTGAGTCGTCTTCAGTATACATTGGAAAAGAAGAATGTCTTCTCTTCACGCCAGCAGGGTTTTCAAGAAGGAAAAAGCACAATAGATGCTCTACACTTGATTAAGAATGCTGTTGCTGCAGCACGTGTTTCTTGGGAGTATTGTCTTATTATATACCTAGATATCAAAGGAGCATTTGATAGTGTTTGGCATGAGGGACTGCTCTTTAAGTTGCATAGTATTGGAGTGGGAGATCAGATGCTTGCCTGGGTGTACAGCTACTTCCAAAACAGAACTGTGCAGGTGCAGGTTGGAGTCAGCAAATCTGCACCAAAGCCTGTAAGAGTTGGTGTACCGCAAGGGGCTGTGCTCTCACCAACGCTCTTTAACATGATGGTCCATGATCTCCCTCTCTCTCCTCATGTGAAGCTGGTCGGTTATGCAGATGATATAACACTATTTGTGAATAAACCATCCATACTTGAGGCACGTTGCTGCATGCAGCGGTAATGGATGAGATTGGTGAGTGGTGCACTCGCTGGCAGTTCAAGCTTAACCCAGTAAAGTGTTCATACCCGGTCTTCACATCTCACCGTACTGCTCCAGCTGTAACACTTCGAGTTTCTAACATAAATATTCAGTATGTGGCACATCAGAAAGTATTGGGATTTTATTTTGCTTCCCCTCATCTCACTCTTAAAGAGCATGTTAGACAGACATGCATATCTTGCCAAAAAAGATTACAAGTACTTAGAGCGCTGAGTTCAGTGAAGTGGAGAGCATCACGACAGCTGTTGCGCAGAATATATGTTGCATTCATTCGAAGCAAGATGGAGTATGGCTCCACAATTTTGGGAAACATCTCAAAGTCGCTCTTAAATCAGCTGGAAACGGTACAAAACTCAGCACTTAGATACATTTTGGGTGCTCGTCGCACTTCGCCTGTATTGTCTTTGCAAGCTGAAAGCTTTATTCCTCCACTGCAACTAAGATTTTTGTTTCTATTCATGAAGTGGGCCCTCAGGTACACATACATGCCTGTAGGAGACAGAGTGGCATCAATGGTAGGATTCTTGGATCGGGAGATCCTTCCAGACACACCTTTTACTATGCAAGCTTGTCAAAGCTTTCAGAAACTAAATCTTCCACCTCTGCAACGTGTTCCAACCCCATTGATGAACACATTCCCACCTTATGTTGAATTGTCCTCCAGCATATGTGTGGACCTACTAAACTCTGCAGTCCACAGTGTGCCTCCTGAAATTGCTCAAAACTGCTTTAGAGACTTTTGGAGACAACATTATCCTCAGCATGTACAGATTTATATTGATGGATCGCGTTCGGCTACATGATCGGTTGCTGCTGGCCTTTATCTACCATCCACCAGCTTGGCCACTGGGTGGCTGTTGAATCCAGCGCACACTGTGCTGGGGGCTGAGCTGTTTGCAATATACAAGGCCATGCAGCTTGCAACAACCAATGTATTGCTGCAAAATAAGCCCATTCTGATACTGACTGATTTGCAAGCAGCACTGCAGCTTTTGTCTTCTCCATCGGATGGCTCCTATTGCTCAATCGTCATTCAAATCCAAAAACTTATGCAGGCCAAGGGGCTTGATAAAGTGTTGATGTGCTGGGTTTGTGGACATAGCAACATCCATGGTAATGAGGTGGCTGACAGAATGGCAAACCTTGCACACTCAAATGATTGTTCTGCAAGATCCAATTTGTGTTTTGGAGAGCGACTCTGCTCAATAGTCAAAAGTCAAATTTTTGTCAAAAAAAAATTCAAATTCAGTCAAAATTTTTGGAATATTGGGCACTTTGGTGGTCAGGGGAGGTGCAGTCTTCGGGGAAAGGAACCTTCAGGCTGAGCTTGGGAGGAATGGTAACTTATGTGGATTATGGACCAATACCTGGCTCGGTTGAATGTGCTGTGGCCCGTCTGCGTCTCGGTCATGCTGGTGTAAGGGCTCACTTGGCCCGTTTCAATCAGACCAATTCCAGTATCTGCCCTGAGTGTAATGTGGAAGACACAATTAGTCACTTCATCTTGCACTGCTCGTTCTTCACTGATCAGTGGAGGGAGTTTCGCTCAGCTCTGGAGAATCTTTTGATTCCCTGGAACCTCATCTCAGCTCTTGGTGGAGGAGATATCCTCAAAAAAGAAGAACTGCAGTAATTCGTCACCTTGGACAGTACCTGTTGGGATGCAACATGGTTAACAACCTTTGAAAAATTTCCAGTGCCTAATTCTTTTTTACTTCCTTCCATACAACAACCACCGGCTGGTGAGAGGCCTTAGAGATCTACTTTGAAATCAGAGTGGCAATATAGTACAAGGAAACCCAGTTGTGCTCAGGCTGGGAGGTGTGATCTATTCATACCCAAAGTCTTCAAAGCAATTTAAAAAAAATGGATTTGATAGGTATTTTATTAATCCTGTTTATATGTAAGAATGGAAATGACGCTTCTATTTCAGAATGATAATGGAAATGTCCCTACTATTTCAGAAACTGTTCTTGAGTACACTTGCAAAAACTAAAGTTCTGTAATCAATGGAGTCTTTGAAATGACAAAATTGTTCAATTTAAAATTTTTAGCTATACCATCAACCGGGGCTACTCGGGATGTTTATGCCACTATATTTAGTTTTGCAATATTCCAATTAGTTTTGCTACTAAAACAGTTTTACGCCATGTTGGAGGACTGTTCCGAGTTACACCGCCCGTCCTGAGTAGCCCCAGTTGACAGTATGAGTGAGATCGTCAATCATCGTAGGAGCTGTAAGAAAAAATTCATTGTTTTTGATGTAAAAGAATGTTTTTAAATTAAAGGAAATGCAATACTTGATTTTTGGAAATACAATGCTAAAATTAATGATCCATATTAGAATTCAATAGACATTATGCTTTCAGAATTAATTTGAAAAAGTTTGTACCTATTTATAATTTATAATTTTACAAATTGCATAACGCAATGCACAAATTCAAGATCACCTATGAGTACCGTCAACCGGAGCTACTTGGGACGGGCGGGGTAACTCGGGACAGTCCTACGACACGGCGTAAAACTGTTATAGTAGCAAAACTAATTAGAATATTGCAAAACTAAATATAGTGGCGTAAACGTCAACATTTTTCCTATCTATGTAGTATAAAGGAAGTTGAAAAATACTACATTTACTAGCTTTGAAAAATTCCTGAAAAAAATGGTGAAAATGATATTTTGAAAAGTTACTTCTGCTAAGGTCTGTAGCAAAAAAAATATTTGCCATATTAAAAAATTTTACTTACATAAAAGATGCACCCAGGTGTTGGCTTGAAAACATAATTGACGGAATTGTCCTATCTCATCCCCAAAAAAATGGCGGCCATTTCCGCACGGCGGGGCTACTCGGGCCACCCTCCCCAGGGCTATTCGGGACACCCCCAAAAACGCATTAACAGTAGAACCTCAGTTAGCAAAGGCTCCAGTTAAGAAAAAAATTTATTAAAAAGAAAGATTATTGATTACATTTACCTCGCTCAGCAAAAAAATTCACTTATCAAAAAATTAGTGCATCATTGGTCATCTCTAAAGTGTGCATAGAATGTCATATATAGAATTGTGCACCAGGCATCATAGAATGAAAAGTAATTGACCTAAACTATGATTTATTTCTCCAAAACATATGATGGTTGTCACTAAAACATTCCTTTCTGTTTCAGGTATGTTTTTCACGATCTTTTTTTTAGTAAATTCACTTAACCCAATTAAAATGGTGTGAAATTACAAGCCGTCCTGTAAGCTTACAGATACAGAAAAAATGCTATAAGGCTGCTGATATGAAGCTTGCAGTGGACAAGGTTGTTGTAAATGCTCAATGGCATGTTCATGGATACGGTAATATCGCATCAATAATACGGTAATTGATGTATATGGTAATATCATATCAATAAAGGAAAAACAAGTAAAAATCACAGAAAATGTCATTTATTCTACCTCTACATCATCTACAATGAAAGAGGAGGACTTCAGAGTACTGTTAGTAATGGATGAGTACACTCTGCATGCTTCAAATGTTTTAAAATGAAGTTTTATTCCAAGTGTCCCGAGTAGCCCCGTTGAATGGGGCTCCTTGGGACACTCTTTTTTTGCTTCTGGCACCTTACAAATAGCATGTGGAATTTTTTAAGATGCCATTCGATAGCCCTTGCAAAGAGCTTTGAAATGAGCCTAAACTTGTTTATGAAATGTTTCATGGTAAGAAGTTATGAATGAAAAATGTTCGAAATCATCCAGAGTAGCCCCTGTTGATGGTATTTTTTTATAGTGAAATCACTTGACTAGATTAAAATTGTGCCAAATTTCAAGCTGTCCTGTAAGCTTACAGATACAGAAGAAATGCTATATGGCTACTGATATGAAGCTTGCAGTAGACAAGGTCATTGTCAATGCTCAATGGCATGTCCATGGATATGGTAATATCACATAAATAATACGGTAATGTAGGGATAAGGTGATATCATGTCAATAAAGAAAATACAAGTAAAAATCACAGAAAATGTCATTTATTCTACATTTACATCATCTACAAAGGAAGAGGAAGACTTAAGAGTACTGTTAGTAATAGATGAGTACACTTGGCTTGCTTCAAACGTTTTAAAATTGAGTTTTATTTGAAGTGTCCCTTATTACCCCGTTCCCAGATTAAATTGTGAGGCTTTCATAATGAGTCTAGCACCTTACAAATAGCATGTGGAATTTTTTTGGCAATGCCATACAAAAGCCCTTGCAAAGACCTTCAAAATGAGCCCAAACTTGTTTATGAAATGTTTCATTGTAAGAAGTTATTAACAAAATACGCTCAAAACCGTCCCTTATTACCTCATTTGACGGTACCATTAGGGTCGCAACTAGAGTTTTCCTGCTATTTCCGGAACCACAAGATTTCTGCCAAATGAATTGCCTTCTATCTAATCAGGGTTGGTGATTTTTCCAGCTTTTTTGTCTTTTTGAAATGTTATTTTTTATGTTGCAATTAGCCTACTAACAATAACAGTATATGGATCAAAATAGATGGCTAAAAAGGGCACTTACTGCCTTCAAGAATGGCCAAGGTGGTGTTTACCACTTTGGGACTTTAAGGTAAACAATTATTGATAAGTCTATTTATTAGCTTTGTAAAGTATGTATGGAGCAAGGTAACAAGCTAAATATTGACCACTTAACTGGATTCAATATACAAAAACACTTCAGGAATGCGGATCTTCTAAACATTGAAGAGTCAAATAACAGTAACAGATAGGCAGCTGATAGCACAGTGAACAACAGTAGATTAGATTACTAGTTTTATGTCCTATAAATCTACCAGACTCTACCCTCTAAACATACAGACTATGTAGTACCATAAAATGGGGTAACTTTGACCACTTTTTTTTCAAAATGATGCCATTTTCTTACTAGATAAGTTAAACTTAAATTGAAACATGCAAAATACAGGTCTATACTTTAGCTTTACTCACCATAAATTGCTGGCTCCTGCCTCTCATAGTTTTGATATAATTTTAAAAAAAGTGATGGTCTTTGTTACCCCAGCTCTTGGGGTTTCTTTGACCGGGTGTTGACAAAATTTTTCTATGTCGAATCGTTTTTGAGTTTTGGGGGTTTTTGTTAAAAAAACGAAAAGTGGTCAAAGTTACCCCGCCGGTCAAAGTAACGCCATTTCACGGTAGTGATTGAGTGACTGACTGCACTGTTCCCATTTTATTCAGACCAATAAACCAATGCTAAACTTAAATGATAACAATACGAACCTCAAATGTCTTGGAACAAAACTAATGTTATGAGAAAAGCTAACACTATTTGAAATAAACATATGCACAATTCAAACAATTTTTTTCCATTCACTGCAATTAATTATTTTATATTTTAGATATATAGTTTCATATTATAATTGTTTTGTTTCTAGTTTTAAATTGACATATATTTTAAAATTGAAGTTAAATATTTTAATAAGAATACTCATATTAGGGTGGAAAATCTTTTTAATTGCCTAAAAGGTCAATTCAATCTCAACCTCTCAATATACAGGGTGGGGCAGAACCGATTGAGCTGTTTTGTATATGAAATAAAAGAGTAATGGAGGTTCATAAAGAAGAAAGTTTATTTTCCTTGAGGTTAGCATAACATACCATTTAGAATACTTATGTTTTGAAAACAATATCTGAAAGATGGTGGCCATTAGCTGCAACACACTGTTGGAGTCGTTCTCGGAGGAGGGAGTAACCGTGACAGTGAATTCCAAATGCTATGCTGCAACGTTGTAAAATTTCTTGCAGCCCAGGATGGAAAACAGTGTTGAAAATGAAGCATTGGGACACGTGTGGTTCCAGCATTATGGGGCTACAGCTCACACAGCCCAAATGTCACTCAATGTTTCAAAGCGCATGTTTCCCGGACATCTGGTGTCTCTGTGGGGTGATATACAGTGGTCTGCGAGGTCGCCTGATTTGAGCATTTGCGATTTCTTACTTTGGGGACATCAAGAAGAGAGGGTGCTCAGAAGTCACTCTCACACCCTACCACAGCTAAGGGAATGAATTATTGCAGAGGTTATGGCCATACCATGCCATATGTGTGAATGTGCTGTAGGATTAGGAAACTTCCAAGAACGACTCCAACAATGTGTCGCAGCTAACGGCCACCATCTTCCTGATATTGTTTTCAAAGCATAAGTATTTTAAATGGTATGTTATGCTATACTCAAGGAAAATAAACTTTCTTCTTTATGTACCTCCTTTATTCTTTTATTTTGCCTCAAAACTGCTTAATCAGTTCTGCCTCACCATGTATAAGCTAGCTAACACAATTAAATTGTATAGTATTGTAATCAATATATAACAAATAATCAAATAGCTAAAAAACTACTTATAGCCAAGGCTATAAGTAGTTTTTAGCTAACTATTTGATTATTTGTTATACGGTATAAGAATTAGCCAAGCTGCTAGCTATGTACAATGTATTGCAACACTTGATGCCTCTGAACCAAAAACATACAATTAATTGGAACCTAATACATATTAAAGGCTAATTAATTAAAGGCTAATACACATTAAAGTTTATATTCCAATATGTCATAGTGCATTTATTTTAAACTATGAATAACAATACCTCAAAATAAACTAAAGACTGCCAGATTGTATAAAAAAAAATCAAAAAATCAAAATAATAAAAAAATCATAATTTTCTATAAAAAATCAAATGATTTATTCAGTTTGATTTAGTCAATGCCAACCCTGTATCTAATTGTTAATAAAAGTGCACGATCAGGCTGTGAGTTTCCAAATGCATAAGAAATTCCTCATGTTACCGTGGGAGCCGCAAGATTTCAGAAACAAGTAGGTAAATTCCAATCCTGTCAGCTTGGCTGGATTATGCTGGAACATCTGCATGTGCATATCTTGTATTTCAATGAGTCTGAGCTTGACTTGAGATATTAAGAAAAGGCTATAGGAACCGGTGAAATGCTGAAATTGGCCAGATTCTTGGGTGTTTTTGCCAATTCACATGTAGCTTCAGGCTTCTGCATTCTGCCCAATTTTCCACACAAGTTTGATGCCTGCTCTGGTGTCTGGTCTATTCATAGGACTCGACCCAGTAGGTCAACTCCTCTAGACTCAAGTCGTACTTGTACCGTCAAATGGGGTAATAAGGGTTGGGCTGGGTAAATCGGGATTAGGGACAGTCCTCTGCAGGGTGCGTACCGCTCATGGAAAACCTGGAAAGTCATGGAATTCGATTTTTCATTTTCCATGCCTGGAAAGCCATTGAATTTCATTTCAGGTCATGGAAAGTCATGGAACAAAGGAGTTTTGATTTCCCTTAATATATCCTTGATGTCAGTTACATGGACACGACCACGGTAAAAAAAATTTGCTTTCAGACAAGAAGGCAAGTGCACTGCAAGTTCTCACATTCAAGACACGTGTGTGGACTTTGTGCAGGCTGTAGTCCAAAAGCTACTGGACAATGGACAAGAGCTCTTTCAGGTATGGCCTTGGTAGGAACCTGAGATGGTTGGTGCCTAAAGTCTTCATGAAGGACTATAAGGAAGCTGACAAGACACAGTTGAAGAACTGTCTCACTTTGCTTGTTGATGCCAAGAGATTCCCTAACACAGATGTGGATGGTGTTGTGCGATGAGATATGCAACTTTAGAGATGATGAATGACACTGCTGTGAACTGAAGGCTCAGTTTCAAGCATTTTCAACTTCTGATCAACTGGACACTTTTTGGCATGTCATTCTGTCAAAGAGCACCTACAAGAAGCTTTGGAATGTAGTGCAGATGCTCATACTCCTGTCTCATGGCCAAGCCACAGTTGAAAGAGGGTTTTCATTCAACAAGAAAATCATGACACACAGCATGATAGAGCAAATGGTGGTTGCCCTGCATGCTGTAGTTGATCCTGTTGCACATGTTGGTGGCCTGGACAAGATGGCCATCACCGAGAAGATGCTGCTTGCAGCTGGCAGTGCCAAAACAGCCTACAAAACTTATTTGGCAGAAGAGAAAGAGCAGAATGTGAAGGCCAAGAAAACCCAGAAGAGGAAGGCTTTGTTTGATGAGCTAGATGAACTGAAAAAGAAGAAAAGGCATACGGAGGAGGGCATCAAGGCAGTTGTGCATGCAGCAGATGAATATGCAGAAGCAATGGAGAGAAAGGGGGATTTGAAAATTATCGCAAAGTTCAATGCCATGAAGCGATCTTTGAAAAAGCTAGACACTCTTGAACTGAACATTAAGAAAAAGTTGATGAAATAGCTGCCTGTTGAATGTTAGGGTAGTGGTGTTGAAGAGTGTTCTGAACTGTATTGACTTTATCATGTACATTCTTGTGTACATTACTCAATATTTGTTGTGATTTAACACTATTGATTCATAATACCAGTGTGGGCTTGGTTATCAGATATGTTTCATTTTTGTTCCTCTGTGTCTGCCTGCTCTATGCAGTTATACATTTGCTATTTATCAGCTGTATAAGATGATAGAATATGCGTGGTTAGTCTTTCAGTCATGCTAAACCTGTCGTATACGAGTCTTGGAAAATTATATTGATGCTCATGGAGAGTCATGGAAAAGTCATGAACTTTTTTCTAAATACCAGTATGCACCCTGCATAAACTTCAACATTTTTTAAATCTATGTGGCATAAAATATGTTGAAAAATCATACATTTATGATTTATGAGCTCCAAAAAGTCCATGAAAAAAGTTGAAAAGTTATATTTTGGAAAAATACTTCTGCTATGGTCTGTAGTAAAAAAATTTTTGCTGTATTAAAAAATTTCACTTATAAAAAAGTTGCAGACAGGTGTTTGCTTTAAAACTTCATTGATGGAATATTCATATCTCAATCAAAAACAAAATAGCAGCTATTTCCCCCTGGGCTCCAGGGTAAAATGGGATATCCCTAACAATGCATTTACAGTAGAACCTCAGTTAGCAAAGGCTCCAGTTAACAAAAAAAAATTTGATTAACAACAAAGAATTTTGATTACATTTACCTTGCCCAGTGAAAAAAATTTGCTTGCTCAAAAATTAATGCATCATTGGTCATCACAAAATTGTGCATAGAATGTCATAGATGGAATTGTGCACCAGGCAACATAGAATGAAAAGTAATTAACCTAAAACATGATTTATTTCTCCAAAAAATATGATGGTTGTCACTAAAATATTCCTTTCTGTTTCAGGTATGTATTTTACAATATGTATTTTTTTTTGTTATAATGAATTCACTTGACCCTATTAAAATGGTGTAAAATTACAAGCCCAGTCCTGTAATAAGCTTACAGATACAGAAGAAATGCTATATGGCTGCTGATATGAAGCTTGCAGTGGACAAGGTTGTTGTCAATGCTCAATGGCATGGTCATGGATACGGTAATATCACATCAATAATAAGGTAATGTATTGATATGGTAATATCATATCAATAAAGGAAAAACAAGTACAAATTACTGAGAATGTCATTTATTGTACTACACTTACATCACCTACAAAGGAAAAGGAGGACTTTGGAGTACTGTTAGTAATGCATAAGTATGCTCTGCATGCTTTAAATGTTTTAAAATTAAGTTTTATTTCAAGTGTCTCCAATTCCCTGTTCCCATAGGTAATTTGGAACTCTTTTCTTTTGCATCTGGCACCTTACAAATAGCATATAGGTTTTATTCAGAGGTGCCATACAATAGCTGTTGCAAAGACCTTTAAAATGTGCTCAAAATTGTCTCTTGTTACCCTGTTTGACTGTATGCCACTAAAATTAGCAATGTGCCAGTGCCAGTGGCACTAGCACAGACAAATGATAGTGGTTAAAGTGGACAGACAGTATGGGTTATACATGAATGACTTCACATGCATTGGATTTAAGAATTAAAAATATTTATCTTTTTTATTTTAGTGATAGTTTGTCATCAGTCTAATTACCTGGCTGGATGATCAATCCTTATGAATCATAAACAATTCCTAGAATTCCACCCTGCCCAAGTGGCCTTACTGGCAGCCAGCACCTGATATAATATTACTGGTTTATATAGGAGATATAGGTTAGACAAACCAATTGTCTTCTGTAAATATTTGGTAACAAAAGTCATGAAATTGATATTGACTAAGTTTAAGAGAAATAGTAATATATAATAATAGTGGTTTCAGCGTTTATTAGGCCGTAGGCCTGTTGCTGATTCTTAACATTGCAGAACATTCACAGCATTTTGCGGGTCTCAAACTCGCAACTCACTGCTACAATTCTGCTGTGCTTAACTGCCCGGCCTCCTTGCCGATTCTGACCAGAAACTGGCGCACAGAGCTGGGATCGAACCCGCGCCTCTCTGCGCCAATCTTGGTACCTACTCTGAACTGTAACCACTGGGCCACCCTGTTTAAATTATTTTTTAAAGACCACACTTTTGAAGAATCCATTGTTTCCAATGATACAGATGTACAAGGAATTTCTAATATTATTTTCAAACATTAAAAAAATTAATTTTTCATTTTTTTTAATATACACATTTTTTTCAAAATTATTCATTCTGTCAATTGATTCATGCATTGCCTCCAACTTCACACAAGTGTGCAAAATTTCATATCAATTGGACAGGTAAAAGTGTGTCAAATATCAATTATAGGATTTGTAACTGACAAAATTATTTCTTCTGTTTCTTTAATATTGAAAAAAAAAATTGCTTTTATTTTTAAAATTATTTATTTTGTCATTCGGTTTATGCATTGTTTCCAACTTTATGCAAGTGTGCAAAATTTCAGATTGATAGGATAAGTAGAAGTGTGTGGAATTTTGATTATAAAAAGATTTGTATCAGACAGACAGAAAAACAAGAAGTTAAAGAGAAGTGTTGTAAAAATGAGACAAATACATGTTCTAATAATTATTTTTAGTATTTTAATTTCATATAATTAAGTTGTGATAGCAAAGTATGATTAGGAAATGGAAATGTATTACTTTTAGACTGCAACTGGCACTGCATGAGAACCTACTCATGGTCTGTATAGTTTATGGAAATCCCTGAAGAATGTGTTAAAAATTAAGTATTTTATAGGGAACTGCTGGGAGATTATTACTTGATGATCATATGTATAGGGAGTGTGGGAACAAAACTTATTCAGGCACAAGCAAAAAGAGGATCTTGAAACTCATTGCTTAAAAAGACACTCTATGAAATAATCTTGCATTGTATTAGGCCTGTAGTATGTAAATTCCTGGCATTGAGTAGAGCTTTCCTGCTCTTTTTAAAGCCATGAGATTCCTGCTCAGTGAATTGTCTCCCATTTAATTTGTAAGCATAGCATATGATTGAGCCACAATATTAGAACCTAAAAAAATTAGTTTGTGTCAATATGAAATGAATTAATATTCTTATTGGGAGTGGGAGCTGAAATTCCTAATGTGGGAAAGTTGGCTATTTTTTTTTAAACAAACCTGGTCTTTTTCCATTTAGCTGCTTCATGTACGTAACTGTTGTGCTTGTAATGTATAGAGCTGAGAGCTTCATCAGTTTGCACATCCTATTTTTATCTATTCAGCAACAAATACATAGGTTCAGAAGACCTCATACTTCCTGTGAACCTTGTTGCTGCTCTTGTGGTGGAGATGCTCCTTTGAGGAGCAGCAATTCTGCTGTTTAACATCTTTGCTGATATTTGCAGTGCCTAATTCTATTTTATATGTCCCATTATTTGTGTCACTTTTTTCTGTAAACTTTATTTAAATTTTTTTCAGAAAATCAACTGCTTTTTCTTGAATACTACCTCGCCCTGAGATGGCCTCTATTGATGATTTACCCAATGTTATTCTAGAATACATCCTAGGGAAGGTGTCTCCATACGGAGATATAAAGGCTTGTTCAATGGTAAGTATACTATGTTTTCTTGATTTCTCATCAACTTCATTATCAATTTCATGCACTTATCAATTGAGAACTGTTATACTTTTTTGTGGAGTGGTTCTGTTTTAAATAGATTAGTTTTCCAGACAGTTTTTCTCATATTTGCTCAGTTGATCAACATTGTTCAAAAAAAATCATTGTTACTTTTTTCCTTGCTTGTATAAACAAGAAGGAATATCTAAAAGTATATTTTATTTTGACTTGTTCTATTGCTTTTATAACATTCATCTTTCAGGTGTGTTCAAGATGGCATCAGTGTTGCCAGCGAGTTGCTCAAGTTATGAAAACAAGATTTCAGTCTGCTGTGCTGAATGGACCTCTTGGCATGAAGATTATCCCTGCATGTCCTACATCCTCCTTTGCTTCAAGTCGTATGATGCAATCTGCGTGTGTGGTGGAATCAGATTTATATCTTTTTGGTGGTTGCACATCCGCTCTTACTACGTTTAATGATCTCTGGCGAATCAATCTTCAAAGTGGGAAAATTAATCTTGTCCATGCCATACCTACCTCAACTGTACCCAGTCCAAAATCACACTTGCCTCTTGTTTCCTGGAACGGGCACTTGATTTTGTTTGGTGGATGGGCCAGCCCGTGTCCATATCCTCTACACCAGAGTGGCATTTTATTTGACGAACTCCACTGCTTCAATATTGACAAAAATATTTGGATACCAGTAGATTTTCCGGGCAAGCCACCTGCTGTTGCTGGTCATACTGCTACAGTTCATGGGGATGTTATCGTTTTCTTTGGAGGCTTTCAGAACAACGGTCAAGGCATTCATGTTAGTTCAAACTCAGTAACATGCTTAGATATGAAGAAAGGTAAATGGTTGAAGCCTAGGATTTCGTATAATTCACCGCCACCAAGGTATGGTCATTCTCAGTTCAAATTAGATGAAAAACACGTTATCATCATGTCTGGTTGCGGTGGTTACAATGATTTGCATTGCGATTATTGGATGCTGACCATACCTTCTGACATTCGGTCTTCGGAGTCCTGGGAGTGGCGGAGGCTCAGAGAGGAACAGTCTGATTACATGCCCAAAAAGCTCTGGTGTTCCCCTTCTTGTCAAGTTGATGATAATATTGTTGTACTGTCGTACGAATCACACATTACTAGCAAAGTCACGCTGCCTGCAGCTGGACATGTTGCCGCCATCGGACGTGTTGAGTGTACCAAAGCCCCCATGCCTGAACCTCCCGTTGTCAGCCATTTTAAACCTTCTGTTAGACCAAACGCCAACAATCACCGTGAACTTCGTAAATCGCTTCTTGACAAACATTCCATTCGCTTGCAGTTATTGAGTAATAGTAATGCAGCTCAATGTGTGGCCAGTCCTGGTAGTTCACAGCGAATCGAAAATGTAGGTTATGTGAAGCCATCGTGTCGGCAAGGGGTTTACATACTTTCCCTTAAGAATGTATTGAGTGATGGAGTGGTTCGATGGTTGCCAGGTCCTACGTGTTGTTTTGATAACGATCCTCCTCACCCAAGACTTCTATCTTCCCTAGTTCTAGGAAAAGCAGAACTTATTTTGTGTGGCGGGAAGAAGGCCCGAGAATGTGATTGTGATCCGGATGATCCCATTCCTCCTATAGTTTACCTGCGGGCCACTGCTTTGCCTCCCCCTTAGCGCTGGAATGCTGTTGGCTCGCATCTACTGAGCTGCATTCGGAGTCTGTGAGTGGTCGGTGACGGACACATGATGAAATTGCCTCTACCGCTCATTTTAGTCAAAGTTTGCGTCTTCAAGAGAATTTATTCTGCTTTGAAAGTGATATTGAATATGAATTCTATTAGATTGATGAAATCTAGGTACATGTTTTAGGAGTTTCATCCTTCATAATTTATTTACAATAAGATGAAGAAGTGCCTGCTGTCAGGATTAGTGTTTATTCTGGACAACGTGTGGAGTCTAATAATATAATTGTATATGCTACGATAAGGGAGGTAATTATTTCAATTTGTCCTTTTTTGGCAATATTTGCAATATACTTAGGTACCTATATACTTAGTTACTCGCTATAGGTAAGAAATTCATGAACGTAGTCTATCTGATGATCGTCTCTCACCTGCTTTTCTTGCTGGCACGACGTTTGACCATCTTCACTTGGCTTCTCTGCTAACTCTGCATGGTTCGTCTTGTGCAATGCAACTCGTACACACCTACGGTCTATAACCTAAAAAAATAAAATAATTGCATACTGTTGTTCGATTCTTATATTATTATTTGTTTCATAGGTACCGTATTTAATCTGTTCAGTGAACTTATTGTTGATTGCACAGATAAATAGAATTTCAATTTGTTTTCCGGCTTTTCAATCTAGAGCCTTAATGTAATCTGGATTCTGTAACACATATCGATCAAGATATGCACAATTTGTTAGTGCATACCAACAACTTCTATCTATTAATGCCTTATTTTCAGTCCTAAATCATGACCAACGAGAGCGTTAGTTTGCACCAGCAAGTCCGTCATAGCAGTAATAAAAGTACGAATGTTTGTGTGGGGGCGACCATGAGTTGCCTGAGACAAGGACTGACTGACTACCAAGTGTCAGCAAGCTACGGCGCTTACTTCTTATCTTAATCTTACGATCATGTTTTCCTGGATCACATTTGCTGCCTATCCTCTAATATATTGCCACCAAATTCCAAAATTGTCATGAAATAAATGAGACAAATTTGCATTAGTGATCCAACGGCCACTTTCTAAATGCAATTGCATCGGCGAATAAGGCATATTGACATCAGCTATACTAGTTTGCTGGAAACTTAGGCCAGGACTTTCTCTTAAAATCACATAGAACGTGGGAAGAAATGGCGAATGAAATTCCTAATCCCTGCCGGCTACCTATTAAGTTCTGTATTAACCCTCTACCGCCTGACATGAGTAACCGGAGCAATATTTTCACAAGCCTGCTTCCCTAAAAGGATACGTTCTAGTATGACAACTTTAAAATGTTCTTTGTTGCGTACACACGTCCTCAGGTTGCGATACTCAATATTTGACGTTTAATTCAAGTTGAAAGTTATTTTCCCGGAGAGTGAACTACGGCGGTAGAGGGTTAAGCTGAGCCGACCGTTTACACAAGCCGCCTCTTAAATAAAGGAGGATTAAAAACGTACAAGTTGTCTCCATTTGTCTTGAGGCATACTCCTCACGCAGGTATTCCCTATAGTTGCATTCACTCGGGGCCAGTTCATTATTTGATTATTTTACTTATTTTATTAATTATTTAATATACTCGTATTAATTCAGTTAACAAGTTAGGTTGCTCACGAGGTTATTACTAACTCTGTATATCTCTATCATCTGGTAATAAGCGTTTCGCCGGAGGCCGTCGCAAAACTGGTTAGGTGACAGCTTTGCAGCTCTATCACTCTTCTTCTGAATCCCAGCTACAATAACTTCAAGACTCATTCTACAAGTTTATTAATTGATCGTTTGTGTATGGCAACACAACCTGTTAAAATAAATATTTCTATAAAAGTATATTAATCAAGTGTGATAGTAAATGCAAAATTTTGAGCTCATTGCTTAACATAGTGACTCTACTTCGTTATCGAATATTCAATATGCATTAAATGTTATTCGTATTCAATTGTTAGAAGTCTATCTCAATTTATATCGAAAAAAAATATTGCGCCGTTTTTCTCAACATATATATTACTTATCTAATTTTGAGGTAAGAAAGTAATATTGAATTCAATACCAAAAAATGGCTAAGCATATAAAATATTCATCATAATTTGTTCAGTATTGAAACAAAGTTTCGTACAAACGAGCTTTACTCAAGCTTAAATCTAAGCTGTATTCACTCGCAGCCAGTCAAGCGGCCACTAGTTGGTCTCGTTACTGGCCACTAACTATTGGCAATTTGATAGTGCCCGCCATTTGCCTACAGCCCCAGAAGCAGCCAGTCCCCCTCTGCAAGAGTCCAGTAGAACGATACTATACCAGAGGCCGTGTGGACTGGATAATAGATTAGGTAAAAAAGTGGCATGATGTGAAATGTTCTGAACGAAACAGCTTCTAAATATAGTCAGGTTCTAAAAAATTTAAGAGGGTAATGACTGAGACCACGCGTGATTTCATCTGTGATATACCACAGTGGCATATAAAAAGATTTTCATAAACCTACTAAAATTATACTTCTGTGCAGCGTTGCTGACATTATTTTTTCCCTTCAACCATAATGATATGATATCCGAACTTAGTTTTTATTGGAGGGTCAGTATAATTTGGATTAGCAATTGTAGAAACTGGCAGTGCAAATGCTGCGTCCTGGAATGGACCAACCATCGAGCCTCTAATCATCCAGCCAAGGTCGCCCTGGAAATGAAACCATAATTCAAACCAAAATTTCTGCTCCATAAATAAGTTCAATTTTGACTAAATTTACTTGGACTTGAATTAACAGAGTAGTTATTAGCAGAAACTTCACCTAGTACCATCACTGATACGCTATCCCCTAAGCCACAGATTCAACCAAAATGAATTGCCTTTATTTTATTCTAAGAAATATAATTTATATGTCAAGCATGGCTGGTGGTGATTTCCATTATTGATATACTCAACAAATACTCACTCCACTCCTTGCTTTATCTTCAGAGTACTGAGCTGCAACTTCATTAAATTTCATTCCAGCCTTCAATTTTTCCATTGCTTCTAAAATTTTGCTCTGCTTTTCACACAGGATGTGTCTTACCTGGAAAGTAAAAAATCAATCAGTAAATACAGTACACCTGAAATTGATAATACAGATATATGAACATTTAAGAAATTATCAAGGCTTCATGTCAAGAAACATGCTATCAAATTACTTCCTTAACTTAATTATTACATGAACTTTATTAGAATGTACCTAGTTTCTTGTTAGAAATATTTGCATGCCAGCTTGCTCATTAACAAGCTCCAGGTAACTCTCAGAAGAATGTCTACTCTTAACAGTTTTATGGTACATTCTTTTAAAAATAAATGAACAATATCTCTGAAACAGAGAATGAAACTGAATTGATGATTACAAAGGACAATCAGCATTAAATACAACTGAACAGCAAAACAATATAATGTCATTAACATCACAACACATCACAAATGCATAAAATTAACCCACATAATCATAGACAAAGAATAGAAGTGTCAGCAAAGCAGTGCAGTCAGGGAATTCAGACCATTCTGTCTAAATTAGGGTAAAATAGTGAAACTTACTTTTACTGAACTTGTCCCTCCTTTTTTTTCTTTAGATGGCCCACTCTCTGACTTGTTTTTGTCTGCTTTGTTTCCTTTCTCAGTTTTATTCCCACCTTTGTCACCTTTCTTGGGAGGCATTGTATATAATATGACAAATAGATGATTTCAATCTGAAATGAAATTACCAGGAATAAATATTAAAGTTAAACAAAGAATAACTAGGAACAATAAAAAAAATTAAAACAATCCATCATACAATTTATTCTTCCTAGCAATTTTTAAATCAGTACCACATATTATACTAAAAATGTCTGATAGTGATTGAAAATCTAAAACTTCAGCAAACGTGTTCAGTTCCAAGTATGAATGCGTTCAATGGTTCAAGAACAAACTAGATACAGAGATACCTAAAGGCTAAAGCTAAGGAAGAATATACTATGTTCAGGCTTGAAATGTTTAGCACCATATCTGCATATCAAACCGGGTTACCCGGTGTCAGTCTAGTAGCTATTTCAAATTCAAAGTTCAAATAATTGTCATTTGTCAGTCATGAAAAGATCCGGTCAAATAACACAATTTTGTATGAAAAATTTCATTTTAACATCATAATTGAATGAAGAGTTTGAAGATGTTTATAAGTTATAACACATGTCGTCTGAAAACTCAGTGTATATATTTATTGTAGTTTCCTGAGACTCGTGTCTTTCTTGATCATTAAGCTATGGTTGACATTAGAGGATGTTATTAAATAATACTTATTATAATTGATGAACGCATTTTTGTTCGAATGTGTGGTGAGAGCTTAAAACTCTTCTTCGTTTGGGTGAAAAATAGCAAAAGATTTAGATCTTCCGTGAACAAGGCACAAAAAGGAAAAGAATTGGAAATGGGCCACATCACTGACATCAGGCTTTCAGGCCTACACTTCAGCAGATCAGCGCTGAGCTGCTGACATCACTATGTTATGTTAGATTAATTGTACTCAAGTGCTGGAGCCCAGGGCCCCAGGCTTTTTACCAGAGTGCTGGGCCTGCCACCTGGCTGGCCTAGGGCAGGACCGTCCGACCAGGGCCCGGGCAGGCTGGCTGCCATGAGCTATCGGCTAATTTACCATCCCTCTGCACCTGCAAGGCTGCACCGGCACCGCTGAAGTGTGCAACTGCAAATTATCAATCATTTGACTACCATTCATTATATGAAATATGAATCGTCTCTTCTTCTAGGCTATAAAAATTCAAATATACTCAGTTGGTGGAAATGTGTCATTGTGTCTTCCAGATGCCAGACGAGAGACTGGAGAGAGCAGTCCTGGATTCTTGGAACAAATTTGAACACCTATTATTAAAATGGGAGCGCTGCTGTAGCCCAAAAATTTAACTCTTAAATCAGCCCAAAAGCCAATGCCAACCCTCTACATGCAATAGAAATAGTCAGTCTAATACCTATGCAGCTGTTCTTACTTGCCTCATCTCGCCACACCAGCTTGAAACAAGCAATGCCTCATCCCACAAACTGATACTACAAACGGATTACACCCAATAGCTCCTACACCAATGATTTAGGCCCATACCATCACTTCTTACAAATGCCGTAAGCCACAGGGTCCGCAGACCGCACCGGACTGTTGGAGTTAGTTGGAACTTGTTAATTTAGAGCCGACTGGGCGCTCCTCAATAGCTGGAATACAGTTCAGGTCCTCTTCAGTGAATACGCTACTAAAAAAATGATTAAGAAGGTTAGCCTTGCCCTCATCAGAGGATATCTCTCGTTGATCTATTTTCAAATCAGAAATACCGACCGTTGTCCTGCACTGCGAGCTAGCGTACAGAAAGAAGGCTTTTGTGAAGAGCGACCTCTGGAAAAGTGACAGAATTTTCCGCTCTCTGCTCAACAGTGGGCTTAGCCACAGCAACAACACCATGTAAATTGCAAGGCTTGACAGTCCAGTATAGTATTTTGCCTTGGTGTCATCATTTAAAAACTTCTCATTGAATCGCTGTTCTCAAGTTCATCTTTCAGTTAGTGATTTTTTTTTAAGCAGTCTGTTAATTTCACCAATTCTCAAATGCCAAAAATCGCATGAATCAGACACATTATGCAGGAGCATATGTTCAGTCTTAAAATGCCTAGCAAATTACGGACCAGGCAATAAGTCCAGCTGCTATCTCAATCAATCGTCAGCTATGGAAAGATCGGGATCCAAAGGCCGGTCCCTTGTGAATCAATTCACGAAAAGTTCAAAAATCGGCAACAGGCTATGGGCCTATTTCTTCAACGCCGACAATTCTATTCTATTCTATTATCCTCCGCCTCTTCTCTTGCTCGCTCTTTTGCATCCTCTCCTACTCGTTCCTCTTTTACTTGCTCCTCTCAAGCCTGCTCCTCTCTTGCTCGCTCATCTGCCTCCTTTTTTGCTCGCTCCTCGGCCTCCTGAACAAAAGCAGGAACAATTTTTATTGCCTTGAAAACATGTTAGGGTTACATGACTAAACAGAACTCTCATTATTAATGGTACAAATAGTAATTTCGGGGTACACGACAAAACAGAACTGTCATTGTTAGTATATGGATAATAATATATTATTCTGTAACTACCTGTCTTGTTCTTTCCATCGCTTGACATGCCCCATCTTGAGGTACGGAGCCCAGTCAGGGTCGGTGGTAAGCATCTCAGAAGCTGGCTGGCCTGTAATCGACAAATAATCACACATATTTAATGCAACATCAACCATTTATAAAATGTTACTTATAAATGCAACTGCTAGGCAGGCCGGTGACGTCGCATTTTTGCGACTGAAGATTAATAAAACACAGCCATGGCTAAACTATAAACAGATAAGCCTAATTTCGTTTTGAAAAGAAGACTGACTGTGCAGAGCCAAGTTCACTATAATGATCAAGACCAAAGAAAAAAAGGAATCGCAGTGGTTATATTAGATATGACTAAAGTAAAGAGGTACCACTGAAAAATGATAATGCAAACAAACACATATTAGAACACGCGTCACTGCAACAAACACATATTAGAACACGCGTCACTGCAACAAACACATATTAGAACACGCGTCACTGCAACAAACACCAATTAGAACACGCGTCACTGCAACAAACACCAATTATAACACGCGTCACTGCAACAAACACATATTAGAACACGCGTCACTGCAACAAACACATATTAGAACACGCGTCACTGCAACAAACACATATTAGAACACGCGTCACTGCAACAAAC